ACTTGTACTTCTCATTGTTGCATCAGATCCACCTGTATCCTTAAACAACTGGTTTTTCCCCATCTCCTCCACAAGTTATACTGACATCAAATATAGTGAGAGCAGGGGTTATACTGTGGGGGAGGGATGTATATTTAGTTCTTATCCTAGCCCTCCAAGAGAAGTCATGCATGATTTTCCCCTTATGGGAAAAATGTGGGTTTTGTCCAGTAGTTAAAGCCTATCCATTCGTGTGGTCTATGTTTTTTTTGTTTTTGTTTGTTTGGTTTTTTTTTTTTTTTTGCTAAATGATATTTCCCCCCTCCCTCCAGTGTACACACTGTTAGTGGTTTACTTGACAAGGGCCTCAGGAAGGTTTTGAATAGGCAAATACACTAACCTTCTGCCCCTTCTCAGCCCTCAGACCCCAAGAAACAGGTAGAAGATGGCAGAAAGGTCATTAACCTTAGCCTTCTCCCCTTTGTCTCTCTTGCCTTATGGCTCCCAGGCCCGCCAGGTGATGGAAAGAGAGTTCAATAACCTTTTGGCGTTGGGCACAGACCGGAAGCTGGATGACGTGAGTACCTGGCTGTGAATCCAAGGCCTTGGGGATTCGGTTGGTTGGACTGAGGTTGATGAGTTCTGCCTACCCTGGCTGATGATGGGTGAGCTTACCTCAGGGAAGAGATCCAGGGGTATGGGATGTTTTAGAAGTCAGGGAGGCCAGCCAGGCTCAGCTGACTGAGCAGTGACTGTGAATTCTATATGACTTCTTTCTGGCATAAGTATGTGATACTTCAAGCATCTTCTGGCTTCAGGCCCAGTGCTCCTAACTACACAGGATCAAATGTCTTCCCTAGAAACCATACCCTTGGGGTCTAATTTGTCTTTTAGACCCCATCTCAGCCACTTCTCTGCCTGCTAGGAGACAGCAGCCTCTGGCTCCATCGTGTTGTATCTGAGGATAGAGGTGCTGAGTGACAGTCCTCTTCCTCGTACAGTCTGATGGCATTAAACACACAGCTTAGGCGTCCATCATCCCAGCTCCCTGGCTTTATGTTCTCTCTGTTGTCATACTACATTAGGGCTGGCCTCTCTTGGTCACTGCAGATGCAGTCTTATGCCTTTCTTCTTCAAGCCTTCCTCTCAAGTTCATGGCAGACCCTGACAGCTTGAGCCATAAGTATCTCCTTAGAAATACCTACCCGAGTTCACCTGTTCCCCAGGACTACAGCCTGGCTACCACCTCTGCCATTCTCCTCTCTAATTACTTGCCTGCCCTCGCCAGTCATGTCTGTCTTAGCCATTCTGGCTCCAAGAATGTTAAAAAAGAGCCCAGGCTCAGTTTATTTTTAGCTTCTTCATCTTCAGACAGCTCATTGTTTCTTAGTTGGATTTAACAAGGCTAAAAACCACCTTTGTAGAAGACCACTCACTAGTAGACAGGACACACGAGAATACATAGATTTTGTTGTTGTTGTTGTTGGTCAAGGGGTCTGAACTCTGGGCCTGGGCGCTGTCCCTCAGCTCTTCAGCTCAAGGTGAGCGCTCTGCCACTTGAGCCACAGCGTCACTTCCAGCTTTTTCTGCTTATGTGGAGCTAAGGAATTAAACCTAGGGCCTCATGCATGCAAGGCAAGCGCTCTACCACTGAGCTACCTTCCCAGTCCTACACAGCATGTTTTTTTGTTTTTTTTTTGGGTCCGGTCATGGGGCCTGAACTCTGGGCTTGGGCACTGTCCCTCAGCTCTTCAGCTCAAGACTAGTGCTGTACCACTTGAGCCACAGTGCCACTTCCAGCTTTTTTCTTTTTGCTTATGTGGTGCTGAGGAATCGAACCCAGGGCCTCGAGCATGCAAGGCAAGTGCTTTACCACTGAGTCACCTTCCCAGCCTACCTACACAGCATTTTTGAAGGTGTGTTTTCACAGAGGTACCCTGAAGTTGGGGATGTGTGTTTGAATACACATATGTATACATGTATATATGAACGTGTGTGCATGCATGTACATTCTAATGATGTAGATACACCACTCTGATTCCCCTGGCTGTCCCCACTTCTCAGATCCTTTAATTCCTTCTCATCTCCATGCTCCTGCAGTGCTGACCTATCACTTTGTCTACACAAACTGACAGTCTTAGCTTTCTTTGTCATCAGAAAAATGACTCCCATATATGTTAGTGTGGTATGTGTGTTCTTTCTTTCTTTTCCTTCCTTCCTTCCTTCCTTCTTTCCTTCCTCTTTTTTTTTGTTGGTCGTGGGGCTTGAACTCTGGGCCTGGGCGCTGCCCTGAGCTCTTCAGCTCAAGGTGAGCACTCTGCCACTCGAGCCACCGCATCACTTCTGATTTTCTGGTGGTTTATTGGAGATAAGAGTCTCATAGATTTTTCTGCCCAGGTGGGCTTTGAACTGCGATCCTCAGATCTCAGCCTCCTGAGTAGCTAGGATTATAGGCATGAGCCACCAGTCTTTTCATTTAGCAGATCATTATTGAGTGTCTGCGGTATTCCCAGACACAGCTCACGAGCGGGGGATTCACTGGTTTCATGGTTTCTCCCTCCATGAAGCATAGAATTTGAGACAGAGGAAGAAAGAGAAAGTAAAAGGGGTGGAGGTAGGGGAGCTGGAAAGAAATATTTATGAAATCCTCTCTCATAAGACCATGTAAAAATGCCTCTCGGACAAGTGCTAAGGAGTGTGAGAGCATTTGGGTTCCACAGGGCACAGACAACAAAATCCCAAGGGTTGGAGATAGATGTGTTGTTGAGGGGGAAACAAGGGGTTGATGCCACTATTCCTTCTGGTATGGCTCAGCTGCAGCTGGGCCCCTGCAGTTCTGAGGACACAGGGTGGAAGGCGGGCTGGCTAGATCAGGAGGGCTGTGGCTCTGATGGGTGGCGTTTTCTCTAAGGTTGTGGTCCTGAGTGCCCATTGGCAGAGAGTGATTTTGGAGACATGGCTGCAGTTGGTGAGGGGCATGTGGTGTCCATCTTGTCCTTTGGAGGAGTGTATCTCTGATTGGTTATCCTCCTGACCCATTACTGCCATGGGGTACCTGGTATGAGCCATTGGAGTGGGTAGTCCAGGAGCTAGGTGGGGCAGACATTGGCATTGGCATTTTATATAAGAGGAAACCAGCCAGCTTGGCCTGGGCACATTGCCGCTCCTAAGGCAGTCAAGAAAGCCAGGTGTTCTCAGTCCTGTGCTGCCCCAGGGTGACTGGTGGCAGCCCTGTGCAGGCCCAGGGAAGCCTCGGCTCCTATCCATGCTTAGAGGAGCCACTTCCCAAGGGGAGGCTGAGAAGAGAAATGCCTAGAAAGATCTGTGGACACCCCAGGTTCAGTTTGGGACCGTTGGAGTGTGGGGGAAAGCTGAGCTCACTGCTGGATGGCTGCTGTGGCCTCAGCAGCCTCCTTCTTGACCCCATGTAGCCAGCTCGGAGTTTCCACTTCACCTCTGATCCAGAGTCCAGAGGATGAACTGAGGGCTAGAAAGCCGGCCAGCCCTGGGCCTGGCTCCCTTCTTTGCTAAGGGACGAGTGTGGTAGCCCTAGAGCGGGGCACGTTCCAGCGCACCCCAGGTCCTGCGTGTGCCCCGGGTCCTGCGTGTGCCCCGGGTCCTGCGTGTGCCCGGAGTCCTGAGTGTACCCCGGGTCCTGAGTGTGCCCGGGGTCCTGCGTGTGCCCAGGGTCCTGCATGTGCCCAGGGTCCTGAGTGTGCCCCGGGTCCTGAGTGTGCCCGGGGTCCTGAGTGTGCCCCGGGTCCTGCGTGTGCCCCGGGTCCTGCGTATGCCCTGGGTCCTGCGTGTGCCCGGGGTCCTGAGTGTGCCCCGGGTCCTGAGTGTGCCCGGGGTCCTGCGTGTGCCCGGGGTCCTGCATGTACCCAGGTTCCTGAGTGTGCCCCGGGTCCTGAGTGTGCCCGGGGTCCTGCGTGTGCCCCGGTCCTGAGTGTGCCCGGGGTCCTGAGTGTGCCTGGGGTCCTGAGTGTGCCCCGGGTCCTGAGTGTGCCCGGGGTCCTGCGTGTGCCCGGGGTCCTGAGTGTGCCCCGGGTCCTGAGTGTGCCCGGGGGCCTGTGTGTGCCCGGGGTCCTGAGTGTGCCCCGGGTCCTGCGTGTGCCCCAGGGGCCTGCGAGTGCCCCGGGGGCCTGCGTGTGCCCCGGTCCTGAGTGTGCCCCCCTGGTGCAGGGGGAAGACAAAGTGTTCCGCCGTGCCCCGTCTTGGAGGAAACGCTTCCGGCCGCGGGACCACCACAGCGGGGGCATGCTGGGCACGTCGGCCGAGACCCTCCCGGCGGGCTTCCGAGTGTCCACGCTGGGTCCCCTGCAGCCCCCGCCCGCCCCACCCAAGAAGATCCTTCCGGAAGGTGAGCGGGCGGGGCTCGGCGGGCACCGCGGCCTGCGGCCTGGCGGGTAGCGGGCGCGGCC